TTTTGAAGACGTCGTTACCTTCTCAGGTCCTGAGTCTCTCTTGTGCTCCTCCTCTTCAACCCTCGAAAACTACAGTTTGTTAATACAAATAAATTGTTCCAGTTGTCGGCCTCTTAAGTATTAGTGTTCAGTGTGTCGTCGTTTTCCAAGACTGACGTTGCCCACCCAACAGTCAGTTAAGACGGGGGTCGGATAGGAGCACTAGTCTGGGAACATTTGATCAAATGTGTCTCCTAATTTACGGTGTATAACCCCTACCCGCATTTGTAGACGTCTGTGTCCTCTACGAGAGAGTGTAGAACACCTCGAAATCTTTCGGGTCGCAAAAGTGTCCAGCATTTGCGGGGCGCGGGGGGACACCCGGGTAGTCCAGTCCGGTATTTTGGATCATAGTTTGTATGCTGACGTAATTGTGTAAGGGAATGCCCCTCTAATCTTCGTCCTACCAACATTTACAGTTGTGTGTCTTTAATCCAAATTTATAGAACTCCTTATTCATTCTGAATAAAGAAACTGTGAATCCTCATCCCTGTCTTTATTAGGGATGATTATCCGACTATAAGACATGATATGTTGACACTTCAGGTGACTCTGTTTACATTGTTAAACACTATAACCCGATGATATTTATTTGTAACTAACTGAACTGATACAACTAGTATACTAGGAGGTTTGGAATTCTCGACGAAATCTCACGAATATACGATTTTGTTTACATAGGATTACCAGGATTTAATATCCAATTTGGTATCCGGTACCGTTACTACTGGACGACGCCCAGACAGGATTAGTATCGAGAAAAGACGCTATAGGTTTAACACCCTGATGAATTTAATAAAATACCCTAAAAAAAATGGATAACGTGTAAAAAAGACTCCATAAACAAGTGCAATTCTAAAAACTGTAAAGAGGTAACCTTTGTTCATTAATGTCAAATCGTTTTACAATTAAAACCACGGGTCCAAGTGTAAATAAAGAGAAATGGGTGTGGTTATTTTAGCCTAAACAGAGATGCAAAATAGCAGTCAACAAATCCGTTCTTTCTACAATTCAATCCAGTTAGATAAAAATTTACATAATATTGAAATGAACTGTCACGGAGAAAGACGGGGCAAGAGCAAACGCGTATAAATTGACTCTTACACGACGAGAACAACACACAAACCGGGTCTTATTAGGCGCGTAAAAATTTTTCAACTGTCGCTACTGTGTAACAAAACAAAAGTGTATATTTTAGTCGGCATCATTAATCCTTGAACAATAAAAACATATGTGGAGAACCTGTCAGAGTAGTGGAGTAAGACATCGAGCGACGGTTTCTGTTTTGTAAGTCCTTAGTAAACAACGAACATTTACAACCGGTCGATAAAAGAATGTATTTTTCGCGCGAGAGTTTAACAGGTGAGAAAAGGCCTATACTAGCGTCTTTTTCGTTTAAAAGTTTATCTCGACTTTAAAATTGACAAGTTGGAGAAATAAAGTCCTAACGTACACTAATGCTAGTACACGGTGATTGAAGTCCCACATCAATGGCCTGAACATAGGGGGAGGAGGTAGTGGAGAGGGTAGAGGGAGACGTACTGCCGTACTTATTTATGAGACGGTAAAAGTTCGTCATATCGCTAACTGTACAGGAGACGAGAGAGGTTGTGGACGGAGATAGAGGGAAAGACAGAGAGACGAGGAAGAGAAGAAGAGATCGACTTACGCCGAGTAGGCACTGACCGTACGTTCCCCCACCGACGAGGAGTGGGTTGATGGGGCCAAATGATGCCGTTGATGGTGCTCACGGTAGAGAGGATAGGTCTGCGTCGGCCTTTTCCGTAGGTCGATGCTCGTGCGCTTAAGTCTGACCTCCTCCTTACTGTACGACTTTCACTCCCCCCACCCTCCCCTTCAACACACACACACATACACCAACCACACACACACACACACACACACACACACACACACACACACACACACACCCACACACACACACACACAACACACACACACACACACAACACACAACACACACACACACGACACACACACACAACACACACACACACACACACACACACACACACACCACACCACACACGTATAGACACACACACACACACACACACACGTATAGACACACACACACACACACACAACCACACCGTATAGACACACACACACACGAACACGATAGACACACACACACACACACACACACACACACACCGGATATAGACACACACACACCACACACCGTATTAGACACACACACAACACACAAACGGACCTATAGGACACACCCACACCACACACAACACACACCGTATAGAACGCACACGTGTGGACTAGTAGAATTACGTCTACGAAGGAAGGGTGAGACGGAGAGAAGGAGGGTCAGAAACTACCCGTCGTCATTATTCCAGAGCAGACGACCCCCACAAATGTCCGTCGCTCCTACGAACTCTGGTTGAAACTGTGTGAGGTTCGAGGTAACACCCGACCTCAACAGTCGTTCGCCTAATGGTGTGGTCGTTTCCGAAACTTTGACGTCGAAGTAATCACTCATTGGTGTGTTTTGTCGGGTCGGGAAGAACTGTAAATTGTACGGTACAAACCCTGACAAAAAACAAAAAAATACACGACAGCTTACAGCAGACAACGGAGTATTAGTTATGGTAAAAAAACAAATTATCTTTGGATAGGATGCGCCACGAGCGTGCACAGCACGGCGTGGAATGGGAGAGAGGTTCAAAGCTCGACTTTTTTGTGGGGTTCAGTGTTGTCTGTTGTGAAACGTGTGGACCAACATAGACACCTGGGTCCGATTGGGACTTTTCCTGGCTCACGAGTGACGGCTCCCTTTCCTCCAGTACTCTCGCGCGCGCGGGGGCGACGGGCGTGGACATACTCCGACACGGCGACATTACATCTCTTATAACACAAATACAACGGTTATGTAAAACCCAAGAAATCTAAAAAAAGAGTCCGTAAATGTTACACATGTCAAAACATGGATCGAGCATTGTAAGTCAGACAAACACTGTACCCTTCAATGCCAATGTATTACATTGCATACCATAAGCATGTTGGTATCTATGTCATAAGGTCATGTTCTAAACTTTCTAGACTCTGTAATTAAACAGTTGTTTTTTCATTAATTTCATAATTTCGATTTGTCTAACCATAGCCGCTTATTGGTACGAAAAAAACTAAGCTACGTCAAATTTTCACGTCTACTGTTTCATCGTACCCCGTTGTTGTTACGTTGTTCCGTTCCGTCCGTCTTCGTCCCGTTCCGTTCCGTTCCCGTTGATTCTGTTCTGTTCGTTCCGTTCTGTCCGCTTGTTCGTTCTGTTCCGGTTCCGTTCAATTCAAACTCCAATAATATGAAAAGTTTGTTCTTAAGTTCACGCAAATGTTTTTTTACTTTCAATTCTATTACCGTAAATTTTGTCCCATTTTTTTTCAATTATTCTTATTTGTAATTTTCTTTTTTAATGTACCTATTCAATGTCACGCTCAGAATTCTACACTTACAATTAATTTCGTCGCTGTCTTCTTTTTTCAGAAGTCGGACCCAATTTCCCTCCATCAGTTCAACGTGCTGGCGTCCAAAGTAACAAGGCTCTCATACAACCTCGCCTACTTATTGCTTGCGACAAGAGGTACAAACTAGACCTAGAACTGTCTTTCGACTGGTCAGGACTTCTGGATCTCTAGACCTACAAGTATAAATCGTTCTCTCAGTTTTACACACACAACCGCGCTTTGTATCATCAATTTTACACCACCCTTCTCGCTTTCGTCTGTGCAAAGCATTTTAAACAACTACGTTAACTAGATGCATCGATTCCGACCAAGTTAACATCTACACATAACATACTTAATACATTACTATGACCACACGTCTGTTTGTATGATACCATTAAAACGCTTTCACTTACACAACGTATGTAGTACTTTTCACATAGTAGAGTGTGGCACCCTGTCAGCCCGAACTGTTAGACAGGACCACTTACATTCCGATGAGAAGCGATACGGCGAAGCGCAATGTCCTGTCCACACAATATGACATAATGAAAGGAATGTCGTGGTCCGCCAACAGTAAAAACTACGATACCAATTTAATTCGATTATAGGTACACCCAGACGTCGTACAGACGACTATATTTCGTAACAAATAACATGACATAAATAGTCTTCCGACGAAAGCACAAACGACACGAATATTAAGCGCAACATGGTCCAACCCAACCAAGAAGTCGTTTAAGCTTGTACAGACTGCATCAATAACATATTGCGTTCTCCACTTTACCCGACCACGCCCCCAACTCCCTTCGAAGACACCAAACAATCTTCGAGACGACTAAAACACGTACAGGTAAACCAACGAGGGTCGTGGACAGAAGTCACGTAATAAGTACGTCTTCACTGCGGAACACGACATAACGGCGAGGTACTCACATACCGTGGCTAACGTATCTGACGGGAAAGCGTAATCAATGCCTCTTTATTTTGAGGCACTAGCTCGCTCGTGTGGCTCGTGTATCCGTCATAATTGACATGACAATACAACACCCTCTGTCCTTAGACCCTCACATCGTACAAGGAAAAACTTCCAGAGAAAACCCACAGATTAAAGGGGAAAATGAGAGAAACCTGAGGGAGAGCAACAGAGGAGGGATCCCTCTCCCAGGACGGACAGACGTGCAATAGATGCCGTGTGTAAATTGAAAAGATAATACATTTACAACATAGGTAGTCCAAATGTTTGGAAATGCATGTGTGTATAATAGGAAGATGAATCCACGAGGATATCCATCCAGGACTTATGATCCAGGACCACAGCCACTACTTTTAACATAGTGACTTCAATCTTTGCAAATTGACTTCAATAACATCAATAATAAACATATTTCAGCTCTTGAATGTCATCTTCATTAGATCTAAGCCATCATTTGGACAAAGTCAGAAAGGTTGTTTCTTTGAAGCTATCCAACAAAGAGACAAAACTCAAGCGCATGGAGAGACGATAATGAGGAGAGTTGAAAGGGAAATGCCTCGTCTTGCAATGTGATTGACAGTTTTGTACATTAATGGGTGGGTTTGTGTGAAAGGGCAAGTGTGAGGAGGGTAGAGGGGAAGTGACAAAAGCCAAAAATAAACATGTGACCACCTACCCACACACCTTGGCAGAGGTGAGCTCCACACCCGCCTCCTGCCCCCTAAGCAGATCACCCTCGCCGGACCCTCCAGTCGGTAACCCGGGAAACAGGAGAAGATGAGGGCGTCGCCCACTCCGTACTGCAGACCCTTCCTGGTACTGTAGGGCGGGATGCCGGGATCCTCGCATGGCTCCAAATCATACTCTGGAAAACAAAAGCATTAGTCGTACATAATACATACATACTAAGTTAACTGTGATGAGTATTTGTAACTTCCATGTCCTGTGATGTTTAAATGTGTGTAAATGTAACTCATAACACTTACTCTGTTATGCTTTGAAATGTTAAGAAGTTGAAAACACTGATTAAAAGGAAGTTGAACCATGTTTAAATCGATTGGATATCCTCAAAAAACCCAGATAACATCCAACACAATGTTACTTATTCAAATCAATAAAGCATCAAGTAGCTATGAGGGGTAAAGACATATTTCTTAAAATGTAGGCCTCCTTCAAGGAAAGCTTATTATTTTGAGATATGTGGAATTACATTTTGTTATTATATTCTTTATACTGTGTGTTGGATTTCAAATGAAGGGATGCTGTGAGAGCAAAATGAAGTGAGATGATTCTCTCAGTGGGTAAAGGACCATCTGTGCTCTACCCTAATTGATTCATTTAAATTTAATCAATTCTCTTGATGTTAACCATTTCATTATTTACTCTCGAGTGGCGGTAATTACATATTTCTAGGACACATACTTAGATAATTATTTGCTCCTTGTTTATGGTGGCCTCCTCCTAGCTAAGCATCGCTCTTACTGTGTCAATAACCTTGTAATTAATGGGGTTACAGAGAGTCTCTGATCCATACTCGTCCACTCTCAACAAGTGCTTAATGGTGTAACCTTTTTAAGCCAGAGCTCATGGTCTCTTCCAAATGATTTGCACGGCTCAGTACTGTGACCGGAACTTTTGGCTTTCCTTTTATTCGCCTCTTAGCAATTTGAATGACTAAATCCATTCTCACCAGAGAAAGTGATGTTGAATCCTTCATAGGAAACAGAGAAGTCGGAGAGGAAGCGGATCTGAGCCGTGTAGTTTCCAAACAGGCCTGCGCTGAGAGGGGGGGGCAGCGTGGAGCCCATCAGCCTCCACAGGGGCTGGGAGAAGCTGCCGTTCTCCGTCACCAACAGGAAGTCATGAGGGCTCTCCAGGTGGAACGTGTGGAAGGTGAATTGGACGCCTGAAAAATAGAGCAAAAACATACACTGATATAATGTGTTGTCTATATTGACTTGATCGCACATTGAGGTTTGGTTTCACATATATATATATATATATATATATATATATATATATTGTTATTTGCACTATTGTATATATTTGTACTGTTGTTATATGTTCATAGTTTACTAGAGAAGACTCACACCTGTCTCCTATCCAAATTTGTGTAGACCGTTTTTTCTTTTATATATTTGCCGTTGTACCTTCTTCATATGTATACCTCTTAATGTGTTTATATCTGTCTAGGTATGGGTATGTATGTGTTTATATATGTGTTTGTATGCATGTATACATATATGTATATATATGTTTATTCTTTGGGACGGTGAGACACAGCATTTCGATCTCCCATTTGTATCACACATACAGAGACATTTAGAATAAAGTTAACTTTGATATTCCTGCAAGCTAAAAACTATATCAAATGTTTGTTGTCTTGAAGCAGTCTGAACTTTTTGAAGCTATATCAAATAATATATTCCCTGTCTCGTAATGCATACAGCCTCAATTCCCTGTCTTCCTTCCCATGTACTCATCAAAACGTTATGCCCATGCAGAGAGAACAAATGATCCTGTATCGTTTTGATGTGAGCACTCTACCAAAAGGTGACATGAGTGGAGCATTGTCCCGTGGCACCGCAGCCCTAGGCCAGCCTCTCAGCACTCCAGTCTTAAAGATTCTTCGTGTTCGGCGGGATAAAAAAGGGCCACTCGGTAGGGGGAGATGACATTGTAAAGGAAATTCAAGTTGGCTGATGCTTGCGTTGACACAGAAATGCTCAGCTCACCTTTGCCATGGGAGGTCTCGATTATCCACGTGCAGTTCAGGTTGTGTGGGTAAAAGTCTGGGAAGCCAGGGGACAGGATGGTGCCAAAGTTGCCCTGGATATAACCTCCACACAATGCTGAAGACATAGGGAGGACAGAAACAGCGAGAGATGGATGAGGGAGAGAAATGAGGCAAAATCAGAAAGGGCAAAACAAAGTGGATGAAGACAGAAATGAACTTTTTCCCCCAAAATTGAGAAAACTGTTCTGGGCATTTACATTGCAGTGAAACATATTTTAAAAGAGGTGTCCTTCAACACAGCAGGAAGAACGAGAGTGGTATCATCAATACCATTAAAGAGTGGGCAGAAATCAATAGTGTCCTCAAATATAAAAGCATTTACAGATGAAGAAAAAGGGGAACATCAAAGAGCAAGCTCATGGCCTAACATATAAAACATTTATGATGAAACGAAGCAGAAACCTTTAAAGCCTAAAACAAGAGTTGCTGAGAGAAATGTTATCATCTTGTATGGATGTTATACTAACTTAGAAATAGCTATTTAAATGTGATGCAACATGAAGCAAAGCACTTCTCATGTTTGGTCTGCAAAAACATACAACAATGAATTTAGCTTTAATCTTATTCATGAAAACTGGCAGGAGACCATTCGTTTCTAGGTCCATTGTATGGAACGTACCATCGCAGGTAGGCAGGGGGCGGCTCCACTGAAAATTGGGTTCACATTCTAAAGGCTCTGTGTCGCTAAGTGTGTACCCTGCGTCACAGGTAAATGTCACCAAGGCTCCCACATAGAAGTCATTGCCGTGTCGCTGTCCGTTGACAGGTATACCCGGGTCCACGCAGTGATCAGACTGGAGCTGCAGGGCTGGAGAGGAAGAGACAGAAGAGGGGAATACGATCAGCCACACAAAGGTATTGAAAGGTATCCGCCTGCTAGCAGTGTAATTAGGCTGATTTCCTGTTTTCAATAGTTCAACTATAGGTCAAGAAAAGTTAAAAGGGCATTTTGCTCTCCAAAAGCAATCCCCATAAATAATTTACTTGAACATCCTTCTTCAACAGGAATAAACCAATGAGAAGTTTCAGCTCCCGCTCCGTCTTGCATAGTTTCTGCCTAAGTAACGTTTGCGGTGAATTATTTAAGCCTTGCAGAGATTTCATCAGAGAGTAAAGGTTACCAGCATGAGCCAAATAGGTAGGAATGAAGATAGGAATGCTTTAAGGCATTGTCAAACTCAAGGCATGTGTCAAACTCAAGGCATGTGTCAAACTCAAGGCCCGGGGGCCAAATCAGGCCCTCGGTGGATTTATTTTCGGCCCGCAGGATAATTTCTAATTAATATTAGATCTGGCCGGCCGGTATATTGCACGCACACCTTCACTCCATCCTGAGGGTTTCCTCCGCTCAGAGCCTGACCCCAAACATTGATGAACTTGCACCCAAGATGAGATGCCAAGTATCTGCTTGAACTAGCATCACAGAGCAGCACACTGAGTTTACATGGATGTTTCCTTCTGCACTTTTTCTCTCACGACAACAGGGCATGTTTGGTTTTCTCTTTGAGGGAAATTGTTTTTTTGAAGCTGTTGTTGCCCTCGTGAAAATGTAATCATACAAGAAATGACTCTGGAAAAAGCCTGCAGATAGAGGCCAAACAGAAATTAATGGCAGTCTGATTATTTAAAGTGGACTATGCATCGGCTATATTTTGAATAATACTAGTAGTAGGAACCATACCTATATAAGGTGCATATTTATACTGGCTTTATTTTCAAATTAGCGGCAAACAGATCATGCATTTTAGCCATTCCTCATTTCGCATCATTCTGTGAGAACGCAGCACCAATCTACAGGCACTGGCATACTGTTACTACAGCCGTCTCCAGCGGCTTTCCGAACGGACAATGTCCGTGGCCCTGTCTCCTCCCTGATTGGTGACGTTGGCCCCAATAGCCGTAGCGCGCACTTTCTGTGACGTGCATAGAAGTGTTCAATCTGGATGCAGGTGCTGTATCAGACTCGCGTTGGCAGCCCCTTTTTTAAGAGATTTGGGCTATGAGAGGAAAATAGAGAATGGTTGTGTTTCTGAGGCACTTGGTGGTCCTGGACACGCGGGGAGCACATATTCATGTAGTAAACAGACGTAGCAAAGTTGCATTTTGCATGATACGGTCACCTTTAATGTTTAATGTTGTTTTTATACGGCAATAATGTTAAAGCTGCTGTTAGTTGCGCAGGTTTAATATGTGCAATAAGTTGGGCATTTCAATAAGTTTTGCATAAACATTGAACACGTCCCGGCCCTCGGACTAGTACCCATTTTATTTATGTTGGCCGCACCGTGTTATTGAGTTTGAGCACCCGCTGCTTTAAAGGTGGGGTATGTAATTTATTTCAGAAACACTTTTTGTTATCATTCCATGAATGCTCTTACATCCCGATAGGCAAATTATATATTAAATGGCTTTGACAAATAAATAGCATACCAACATTTTATCTGTGGAAAGCGCGTAGTAGCTGTAATCAAGCCGGCCAATCATCTGAGGCCGGCCGGCTTAAAGTAATGGAATGGCCCTAGCCTGGCCTGTCACTTCCATCTGTCGGCACAACTTTATGCTCGTGCCCTCATTGGTTCATGTGGACGTTGTGTGTGTGAAGGAGGGGGGCTCTGTAAGGAAGTGGCAGATTTTTCGCGTTGCGTCNTAAGTCCTGGATGGATATCCTTGTGGATTCATCTTCTTATTATAGACGTATGCATTTCCAAACATTTGGACTACCTATGTTAGAAATGTATTATCTTTTCAATTTACACACGGCATCTATTGCACGTCTGTTCGTCCTGGGAGAGGGATCCCTCCTCTGTTGCTCTCCCTGAGATTTCTCCATTTTTCCCTTTAAACTGTGGGGTTTTCTCCGGAAGTGTTTCCTTGTACGATGTGAGGGTCTAAGGACAGAGGGTGTCATATTGTCATACTGATATTCTGTACAAACTGTGAAGTCTACTGAGACAAATGTAACATTTGTGATATTGGGCTATATAAATAAACATTGATTGATTGATTGATTGATTGATTGATTGATAAATTGCATGAAATTATGAGCTGTTTTTGTTTTGTTTTATGTATGTTTGACTGTGTGTGTGTGTGTGTGTGTGTGTGTGTGTGTGTGTGTGTGTGTGTGTGTGTGTGTGTGTGTGTGTGTGTGTGTGTGTGTGTGTGTGTGTTGTGTGTGTGGACCCCAGGAAGACGAGCCAATGCTAGTGCTAATGAGGATCCTAATAAATAATAATTGTACACAATCACTTAACTTATACACAATCACTTAACTTAAACACAGATACAAATAATGTCAAACAGTGCAAATTGCTATTGACAAAAATACATTGGATAGGGACTGTAATTATGAGCAATATTGTTTGTTGTGTTATCATACGACTCGGTTCCCACATCAGTGTCGAACACATCGCTGCTCAGGCTTTCAACCTTGCGACTTTCCTCTTCCGTGACTTTCAGGAAATAAACTCTCCGTATTGTTTTCAACTCAATTTCATTCGCCTTCCTCCCCGGCTCGAAGTACCCTTCTCATCTGTGTTCAGAGTGTCCCCGCTGCTCCAAAAATAATCCCAACATTACAAACAGAAGCAGTCCCTCATCTGCTCCCAAATTCACTCTGGCTGTTTGGCTATCATTTGCAGGGAAAAAGGGGCACGGGGAGGACAAACCTGTTCAGAGATATAAAGTTTGTTGGATGTTGTTTATACCTAGTCATGAAATTGCCTGTCAGTTTGAGTTGAAATGGGAGCCAAGAAATATTATTCTAATCACCTTGGCGGGTGTCAAAGAACACCAACCTGCCCGTTTTCCTTAACGAGCTTCTGGCTGCTTTCTGAGAGACTCTGTCAAAATTTCTACCATGAGAAGATTGACAAAGATTGTTTCTTTTACCATGAAAACCATATAGGGCAGTATGTGTGCGTAGGTGTGTCAGTTTTGAAACATAATAAAGCAGACCATGTTAGTGTTAGCTGCCAACGACCGACAGGTGAACTGTAGGCGAACCCTACCGAATGCTCAGATGGGTAAACTATCTAATGGAGAAATGATCTCCATAAAATGATTTTAAAAGTCTGTCCACCACAGACAGTTAGGGGTTAATACCTGCCTATGTGCTCGGTGTGCTGCTGATACGGGAAGTTTTATTTTATTGAAAATAAATAATGCGAAAAGGGAGTCTATGCAATCGGGATGCAATATGAATGTATGGAGCGGAATAGAGCACAGTCATTTCCTGATGAGATAATGCACTGAATAAGGTGCTGGGAAAGCAACCAAATGGATGGCCCAAAATAGCAGAGCTTTAACAAACCACAGAGCTTCCCTCAACCTGCACCAGCCAATTCACATTGTTATGGAAATAAAACTAGGTCAGACATGTTGGTTTAGCTGAAAGAACAAACACTGGTAAGGATTAGTAGCATGCCAAACACGAAAGCAGCCTTTGATAAATACAGTAATATAATGTGTTTCAGCAGAATGCTGCGACCTGGATTATTAGCTTAATTTAACATAGCATAATGAAACCGATGGTGATGTAAGGAAAGGTAATAAGTATAACACACTGTCCTGTAAGGAAGGGTAGCAGAGAGTAGCCTTACATTACAGGACAGTTGGTAGCTGATGTAACCAGGTGTGAGATGTACATTTGATCATGTGTTGCAATCAAATTCATTTTCGCATTTACATAAGTATGTTTAGTCTGCCGTTCTTCATATTTCTACAATACATCCTACATGTGAAAGCCTTAGCTAGTAGATCAATTGCATCCAAACAATTCTCATACGAAACGTGATGATTTGCTCTCCATTAAACAACACATTTTTAACTACTATGTTTAGGCCCAAAATACATTTCTGATCTCCTGCTAAATTATGAACCATCCAGATCTCTCAGGTCTTCAGGGACTGGTCAGCTTTCTGTCCCAAGAGTCAGAACTAAACATGGAGAAGCAGCGTTCAGTTATTATGCTCCAAATATCTGGAACAAACTCCCAGAAACCTGCAGGTCCGCTGCAACTCTGACTACTTTTAAATCCAGGCTGAAGACTTTTTTTTTTGTCGCTGCTTTTAATTTAACTATTCACATCTTAGACTGCACTGTAACTTTTATCCATGTATTTTTTCTTTTAATGTTTATTTTATTAACTTTTCTTTTTAATGACTGATTTTAAATGCCATTATCTTAACGTCTTTCATTTTTTGTAAAGCACATTGAATTGCCTTGTGTTGAAAAGTGCTATATAAATAAACTTAACTTGCCTTGCCTTGTCTTGCCTTGCCTTGCCTTGCCTTGCCTTGCCTTGCCTTGTCTTGCCTTGCCTTGCCTTGCCTTGCCTTGCCTTGCCTTGCCTTGCCTTGCCTTGCCTTGCCTTGCCTTGCCTTGCCTTGCTACTTGGTCATCTGCACTTTTAAACTGCTGAATCAAAAAAAGTGGTTATTCTGCGATACAATCTGTTTAGCTTTAATACTTTAATTACTTTTTGTTGACAGAATTAATGTCTCAGATCTTTCAAATCTTGTACTGGAATATGTATCTATGGTTGTACAATACATACTTTTACTTTATGTAGTACTTCCCATGTCACAAACAGACTGATGTTACCGAGCTAGGTACAAAACTGTACACATTGTAAATGTGAGAAAAAAATCTAAAGAACCCAAAATGATATTGGCAAATAAACAAATATTTCTCTAATCCCCTAAGGAGCATCAGACTCACCCATACAGAGTGGGAGGGGGCTGTCCCATGACCTCCTCTCCCCCCTCAGGCAGGTGAGCACCTCGGGTCCTTTCAGGGTGTAGCCTGGGT